AAAAACGTAATATTAGTCGTTTATGCCTCTCAATACTCAAAATAGCTTCTATATTTTCGAAACTTTTTTTGTTAATAACTTTTTAACGAATAACGACCGCCGGCTAAAAACTTCTAAAGGTCACTCAGGAGGGTGACCTTGACAACATATGTCAAGGTCAAGGTCATCGGAGGGTGGTCCGTATTACTAAATAATTACCAAATTTTTTGATAAATGTCCGTGGTTGCTCCAACTTCCGCAAATTTTGAGATATCGAGTTCAATTTTTTTTTTAACGTAGAGTATTATTAAAGAACAATTGGTATTAAATTTGGAGGTGATCGATAATCGGGTTCTTAATTGCTTTATAAAATTTTGAATTTTTTGAGAAATGTCCGTGGCTGCTCTAACTTCCGCAATGAGATATCAGGTTATTTCTAATTCTATTTATATTCTTCAGTCTTTTCTATCTCTATTTCATATAATACTTTAAGATTTGATTGATTGGACCCAGCTATATACGCGATCAAAAGTCTATAATTTTTTGAGAAATGTCTGTAGTGGCTTTAACTTTCGCAAATTTTAAGATCTCGGTCTACTTCTAATTTTATTATATTCTTCAGTCTTTTTTACCCCTATTTTATAAACAATTCTTTAAGATTTGGTTGATTAGACCCAGCTTTATACGCGATCAAAGGTCCACATGCGAAGTCCATATATGGACTATGTAGCCTGAACTCCCAAAGTCAACATCGATTTGACATTGCGTCAATTGTAAAACCCCACTTGTGCTACTAAGCTGATCCTTTTCAATTCATAAAAAAAGGTTAAATTTAAAGTTAAAAAAAATGTGCAAATTAGAAACTTGCACATTGCTTCCTCATCATTATATACAGATCGCTATCATTGCTCCTATTTTATTTCGCTCACAAAGCTCCTCTTATGAGGAAGCTTGTATTTTATTTGATACATAATTATTAGTATTTATATTAGTTTGACTAATTGTAAGTCCTAATTTGAGAATTTTCAAATAAAGATATAATATAATTAATAGATAATAATTCGACAGAGTTTAGTTAAAATTATATTTCAGTATACACAATTTTTTTACTAATATTCTTATTGCAATTTTTGTTAATATGTAGTGTTACTCAAGTAAGAAGTATAATTCTTTCTTACCTCAGGATACGTCACGACTACCTCGTCGGCAATTGGTTGCACGGTCTGGGCATTCAGTCCTGCGATCTCCAGGGTGTTCGGTGGCAGTGGGATCGCAGGCTCAAACGCAGGATGACTATTAATTAGTACTATATTAATTCTGTCTTTTTCTATTTCACGTAATGGCCTGATTGCATGGCCTACATATTCCTCGGTAAGTCGTTGAACAGCAGGCAAGAAATAGTAATATTTTATAAGATCATCCACAATGTAATATAGAACATTCCATGTTTTTAGCCACAAACCTTCGAGTTTTGCAATGGATCCAGGGTAAGGTCGAACAGTCGGGTAATTTGGACCGCCGACGTAATCCTTGAGCCAAGGCGCAGGACCAAACGGAATATATCCTACTACGGATGGCTTACCTTTAGCAACCTAAAAAACATTACCTACAGGTAATGGAAAAACTAAAACTAAGTAGCTATTATTTTGTATAAATAATCAAAATAAAAATTAATTAAGTACTATTTTGCAGAAAAACCTTTAATTTGTATTAGTATATAATGCACAGTAATATATTATTAAATAAATATAAACTATCGCTTTACGCGGAGGTATTGTGATTAACTCTGTTTAATTCATTCCGGTCTGTACTGTCTCATGTTATGTAGACAGTTAAACAATTTCAGTAACTTCCCGCGCGATTGTTCTCTATATATCTACATAGAGAGAGCTACAAAATTTTTCACGTATTTTTTCGCCTTTAAGATGTTCAATGAAACATCGCATTTTAACGTTTAGAACTAGGATCTAATTATAAGAAGCGATCGTAAAAATTATCGCTGATATAATTGATGACTTTGCACTTTCAATTTGTTATGCAAACACACTTGATTTATAAGACTTCGCTACGGCACTTGCATTTTAAAAATAGACTAAGCAATTACAATTCATTAATACTAGAGTAACTGGGGGGAATATGCCAGTGTGGAGAATGTGCCACTTGTTATGTTTAACAAAGCTATACGGCTAGGAGCGTTGTTGTAAATACTGTAAAATTGTTAAAAATTTTCTTAGTGTTTTATTGAAATTGTAATAAAAATATTCTTTTACATGTTTTTAGACAAAAATGCCCTTCTAAAGTTAAATTACTATACATATTTGTATATGTGGCATATTACCCCCAATCGGAGTAATATGCCACTTTTGCAACATTTTTGTAGGTATTTCTTTCTTTTTAATAGTAAAGAATCAAAATATTTCATTAAAACCATATATAAATAACAGATAAAAGAAGGAAAAAGAAGACCAGTATGCAAAGATACCTTAAAAAGAAAGAAAAATAGGAAAAAAAAATCATATTTTTCTTAAGTATGGCATATTCCCTTGAGTTACCCTATATAGATTGTTCTACCTCCCATAATCCGTAGAAACATTGACTTGAAGTAATGTCCTGCACTATAACGTCAAACTCGACAGTTTTAGTCATTTCCAAAAGTTCTTTCGCTGCTTCAGTTTTTATCGATGTGTCACATGCGAATAACATGCTAAATTGGTATATAGAATACATTGTATAAAAAACGCTGTACTGTTCCCATTTAACTAAGTTATAATCATCGGATTTTTCAACACTTTGCATCAAACCATCGAAGACCTGAAAATAATAAGAGTACCTTTCGTTATACAAGAGAGGACATGTGAAAATGTGATAAATTATAGGACCTCCGAAAGCACATTGATCTTACGTAAGATAGAAAACAACATTTTAAAATAGAAAAGTTCTATCTTTTCTCATTTGTTTTATAATTTGCAAATAATCGATTTATGTTTCTCACAATGTCTTCGAATCTTGTAACATCTACTTACGGCGTAAGTCAAATTCTGCGCGAGTTTTCCTTTGACCTTAGTCTCACGTATGCTCACTGCGTGTACATGATGGCCTTTACGAAGCAGTCCTTTAACCAAATGCTCTGTCCAGATGTGGTGGCTAGGCGACGGAAGATTCTCTATCAATAAAATCGACAATGGTTTCGACGCTGTCACGAGATCACCTATTAAAATACAACAAACAAGGAAAATGACACGGCTTAACATTGTTGCGCAAAACTTCTTGCGTGATCTCTCAATCAAATGCTAAGACCAAATGTATCAGTATGCCTAGTGTAGCATTCCTCCTCTCCTCATTTTAAGATAATGATATTTATAAATCATTATATCACTTTATGTAACAGGCTGATAACATTGACATTTTTTCGAAAACACAGCTGTGCAATTCTAAAAATAAGAGGAGGAAAGATTGCAGAAATATAAATAATTAATAATACATATGTGGATATGTATGTATGTAATACCCAGTATTTATTCACACTCTATTACTATGGTTGTTAAAATTGTATGAAGACATTTCCACAATTATTTATCAGTGTTGATCGTTAGATAATACATGACTGATAATCTATACTATACCCAGACAACAAAACGCCCCTGGTAACCATCTCCGATAGAAAACGATAAAAAAATTTCTTATCGTTTTTAATACGGTTAGTGAATCGTTTATTTACGGTACTCTATCAGAAACTCACGTTACAAAATACTTGCAATCCTATCGTAAATATCTTATCAGCTATATATCAGTTTCTATCGTTTTTAATATAATTAGTGAATCGTTTATTTACGGTATTCTATCAGAAAGTCACGTTGCAAAATACTTGGGAGGTGCTTTTCAGGTGCTCCAAAATTAGTACAAAATGCGGATTATAGCTTGTTAAAGTGTCATAGTAACTATTGTAAGAATTTCATGAATAATAAAGAGGTACATGTATATAAAAGGTGCATATTTAGCGGAATTATGCTCTACACTGCAGCGTACAGTAAAACTATTAAAACCAACGATTCTGTAGTACAATTAGACGATGATACAATTATCGAAATATTAAATTTTATTATTGTAAATAAATGTTGCTTTGTCGTTTGTAAAGTTCTGACAACCATGCCTGCGGTCAATCAATTAAGAATAAATCATATGTTACATAAGTTACTAGCGAAGCACAAGATGAAAAAATAATTCCGATTCAACTGATAAAACGTAAACTTGTGGTCGTCGAAATGAAATGTGACAAATTTCTTTGTACAATGCCGAACCAATTTGAAACATTATAACTATATATTAATATATCACTTTAATTATTAGTTAAAAAACAAAATGTATCTGTTCATAATTCTTCATATTTGTACACTTATATAAAATATATTTTTAATAAATTAAGATTAATTACAGACTGGCGTTTAATTTATTATTAAAAATTCCGTGAAAGTTTATCTAACATATAGTTAAAATTATTTTTCATAATTTTCTATAAAAAAGTATCAAAATTGATTCAGCTCTTCTGGCGTAAAAACAGCACGCGTAGAAATTAGTATATTCAACTTAATTTTTCATAAAAATCCATAGCTTTCTGTAAAAAAGTATAAAAAATTGTAGTTATTCATAGTTTTTCATATATCTGAATTATTAGATGTATGAAAATCGAAAAATTTCTATGAATACCCAGACAGCACGCATGTCCAAAAGCGGGACATAAGACGTCTAAAAAGCATCTAAAAGACTCTTTATAGATCTTAATCTAAGCTTTTCAGAAATATTGAAAAAAACAAGGGTTATCGTGTAAAATTTTGTGATATTGAACAGTACAGCCAGTACAGCATCACAGTATGACAGCACTTTAAACTTAATACACCTAACCTTTACGAGCGCTTACGGAGGAGTACTCGCTCTAAAATTATGTGAAATACAAGTTTTGACTCAATTAACAACTATCAATAAACAACAAAACATAACCACATTACCACATTTTCTCGCATATAAGCCGGAGTCAAAGGAGCACTTACACGATATTTTTAATTATTCCTCGCATCGACTAATATGGGTATGATATAAGCTCTAACGTCATCAAAATTTATGAAAATATTTTATGAATACTTAGAATTGATGAATTTGAAGATTTTTTTTTCATCTCTCAACTGACTAGAGAGTACCTGTAGAACCTCCTTAATTAAAGAACGCATCTAATTAAAGGAAAAGCCAAATATAACACAAGACACCTAAACAAAAAATCCAATTTTATAATCTACATATTTTAAACGATTGTTTTTACAGGAATTTATAAATTAATAAGCTTAATCTAGATTGCTAAGCTAGATTGCTTGAGGTCCTATATTACATGATAAAAGTGCAGTCATTATTTTTTTCTACATTAAATATTAAGAAAAATTTTTTAATTTATGTCAAAATCGAGTAATTTAGATTTAAGAAATGTCATCATCAACGTCATTATCCCGGTGTCCGGTTATAATCGACATTTCAATACTCGCGTACGCCCTCACACTTCCAAGCACCCTTCACGTACCCTTACTGACCTCCACCCACGCCATTCACCTGATCACCTCCCACCGTCTCCCACCCACCCCAAACATTTTAATATGTCTCGACACGTCCTCATGCAATCTAACACACTCTTATCCACCCAAGCACATCATCAACTATTACCACTTCCCCACCCCACCACAAAAACACTTGAATACATCTCAAAAACGTCCCACATATCCCAACACACCCTTACCCCCACTCAAACACCATCCACTCCCACTCGCCCAACTCCACCTCCACCCCAAAAACACTTCAATACATCCCGAAACGTCCCAATGTAGTCCAACAAATCCTCACTCATCCAAATACGTTACTACCCACCGCTCCTCCAAAACACCTCAATACATCCCGAAACGTCCCAACATAAGTCCAACATACCCTTATCCACACAAATACATTATCATCCATCTCCACTCTCTCAATCCACATCGCTCATTCCAAATATTATTTCTATAAACCCCAACACGTCCTAATATAGCTCAAAACAATCTTATCAATCTAATTAAATGTATTTCATATTAAATAACATATAAATAACAATTTGTAAATTGTTATAGTTGTTTATATTATAGTTATATGTCTTATGTTACATTACATAAAATCAACACATTTCTTGTAACACGCTGGATACTACAAAATGCATGATATATCACAAAAACATCTTTTTGAAAAAGATAAAAAAAGGCGCCAAGTATTCGCGTCCTATTGTGCGTAGCTATTGCGCGAAACAGTGTTGTTTTAATTTATTTTTGCTATAAAAGTAATGATATCAGACATCATACCAAGTGAGCATGAATTTACATGTATTATAAAATTTAATCTTTTCTCATATAAATAATTGAATTCCTCTACTCAATAGAATAATAAAATATTTAATGCAAAATAACTTGTTAATGAGCATGAAAAATTGTGTTTATTACGATATTTAGTCTTTTTATTATTATGGTTATTAAAATAACAAAATATTTTGTCCAAAAAAACTTGGCGTTGCAAATGTTTCATGTGTCATGTATGAAGTTTGTAAATGAGGATCGAGTTTAATTTATAATGTGAATAGATATATGTGCAAAGTATAGAATTATTTGCAGAAATACTTATTTAACAACGCCAAGTTTTGCTTTCTCATAGAGGAAGCTTTGTTTTCGTAAACCTCGTGTTACTCGTGTATGGACCTTTGATCGCGTATAAAGCTAGGTCTAATCAACCAAATCTTAAAGAATGATATATGAAATAGGGGTAGAAAAGACCGAAGAAAAAATTGTTCTTTTAGTTTTCGATGCCAATGTGTTCTAAATGTTCTAAAACGTCGTTCTAAAATGTTCTAAACCTTTTTGTAAGAAAATTGTCTTACAAAAATGTCCGTATGTGTGTATGTATGTGTGTATGTATGTACACATTTATCCATAACTCAAGAACCAATCAACCAAATCTTAATGAACTATATGTGAAATAGGGGTAAAAGAGATTAAAAAATATAATAGAATTAGAAGATAAAATAAAGGGGTTACCAATTTTTGTTTAAAAAAATCTACGTGATTGCTCTAATCTCCGCAAATTTTGAGATATCAAGCTAAATTTTTTTTATGGATAAAGTTTTAACAAAGATCGGTGAAGAAGTTTATACTGATTTTTGCCTAAAAAGTGTATAAGTTATGTATGTAATCTTATATAAAGTATCATTAGAGAAAGTCATTTAAGGAAGGTTGGTATTGAATTTGACGAGGATCGCTGGAGCAATCACCGATTTCTGCTTAAAAAAGTATAGAAGTTATACATGTACTTTTATATAGAGTATCATTAAAGGAAAATTGGTATTGAATTTGACGAAAATCGTTGAAAGGGTTATACCGATTTTTGTCTTAAAAAAATCTACGTGATTGCTCTAATTTCCGCAAATTTGGAGATATAGATATTGAGCTTTTTTTTACAGCGTATCATCAAAAGTAGGTTGGTATTGAATTTGTCGAGGATCGGTGAAGGGGTTACCGATTTTTTACCTATGTAGCCTGAACTCCCAAAGTCAACATCAATTTGACATTACATCAATTGTAAAACTTCACTTGTGCTCTAAGTGAAGTTGACATTCTATCAATTCATAAAAAGATTAAATTTGTTTGCACAAGCCCGCGCACGAGCCTGGTCTCTAGATTTAGATGAGGAAGGAACAAATAAAATTAGACTTTGTATGAAGAGAGAAATTGCGTGCTTTGGTTTAATTCGTTTCTCAAAAGAGTTAATCGCAGTTTGATTTTCGGATAATAAATATAAAAAGTATAATTCGGTATGTTACAAGATAATAAGCTGTATAAATACCAAATAAAAGAAAATGATTAGTATAGAATAGTCCTTTCTTTCAAGCTATTGTCGAATAGACTTTAGATTCACTGATGTAATTTGTTATTAAATGAATTGATTCTTCATAATAGGAATAAAAATAGTATGATTACATATAATTAATCTTGACGTAGTCAAGCTCAGAACTAGTTGTTATTTATCAAAAAAAGGATCGTTAAAAACATAGACATAAATCAATTAGAAACATGAATATCAGTTCAGATATAATTCAAACAATCGGGGAAATAATGCATCAATCTTTTAGTTCAATCATGAATAATTGTCATCGGCCTTGTCGATAATATTCTTCGTAATTCGAATATTGACTGAGTATTACAGAACTTGTGTACAAACCACGGCACAGAAATATTACTTACAACATGAGCTATTATTACGAC